CTTTTTTTTCATTTAGAAAACATTTTTCTGACCTCTAATTCAGTAAATTTAAAAGAAAAACCTTATTTAAGTTGCTAAAATTAATAAAAATTTCAAAGATGAAATTTATTTCCAAAATAAGACACCCTCCTATTACTATCATACCATTTCCAACATGCATCCCACAAGTTACCTAAATCCTTACTAAACAGGTCTTATTATGTCCTAATGCCATCCTAAAGCGTTCTAAAGGTATCCTGAAACTGTCCTAGTTATGACATCATTAAGATATCTGCAGGTGGGACATTCTAACACGCAGATGACATCCGTAGGACATTTAGCGGTAAATATAGGACTTCCTCTGGAAGTCACAGAATCCTAAAGATGACAACTTTAGGATGTCATAACGAAGTCAATGTGCTGTATGGGAAGTTGAGTTGAGTTGTTTGCCTCCTGTTCCTGAGTTGAGTTGTTTTCATCCTGCTGCCGATTTGAGTTGTTTGCCTCCTGTTGCTGAGTTGAGTTGAGTTGTTTCTCTCCTGCTGTTGAGTTGTTTGTCTCTTGTTGCTGAGTTGAGTTGTTTTCATCCTGCTGCCAAGTTGAGTTCCGTTGTGTCACAGTGTTCTGCGACATCATTTTTTCTAACAATGTATTCTGTTATTTATTTGTTTCTTTAATTTAATTTAATTTTTCTTTAATTTGCTTTCCTTGTATTTTACTTTAGTTTAACGATTTTTTTACATTTAATTTGCGCCGTTTACCACCTCTTTCTACCTTGATTTGTTGTTTTAAGCACCATTCAATTTTTTAATTAACTTCCCCCTTGTTTTACTTTTTGGCTGCTTAGCCATCTTGTTTATTTCCTACAGTTTTCATCTTCCTTCTTCCCGTTTGTTTTAAACGGGGTTTTCCTCTCTTGTGGTTAGGGCTTTTCTGGATCCTTATTGGTAAATTCCCCCCTTTCCTTACAAAACTTTGGAATTCTCGACAGCGTCTTAGTCAGTTCACCTCTAGGTCGGCCTTCGGGCTGGTCCTATGTGTCAGCTACTTTCCTTTAAATTTTTTTTCAAGTCTGCTCTTTTTTTTGGCTAGGGTTCGTCCGCCATTAGCATTGCGCTGTTTCACCCGCCATTTAATATGGTTGTATTCCCCTCTTTTTTTTAACTGAATAATATTAGTTTTCTTTAAAATTTATATTCCTTTTAATTGACATAAAATTTCTTTTGATTTGAAGTATAACTTAATACATTTGATTCATTTTGCGCCAAATGAGTTGGCGCCCCTTTTTTTTGTGATTGAAATTTTTCTTACATTTCCGTTGTTTCGGGAAAAATTATGTTCGCTGCAAATTTGTATTTTTTTATTAAATAATTTTTTTTTAATTGTTTAATCTCATCAAATATGAGGTCGGATTCTTCTTTTTAGTCGCTTTCTTTTCTTTCGCCGTGTTCTTTTTAGTGATGATCCAATCTCTCCAGCATTCTCAGCGATTCACGAAGGGTGAGTAACTTTTAATTATTTTGTTTCTTTTGTCCCAGATCTGAACCCAAGCTAATGTATATTTTTGTTTTTTTTTAAATGTGTTTGATATGTGTTAGGATTTTTTTGATTCATCCTGCTGCCGAGTTGAGTTGAGTTGTTTGCCTCCTGTTGCTGAGCTGAGTTGTTTTCATCCTGCTGCCAAGTTGAGTTGAGTTGTTTGCCCCTGGTTGCTGAGCTGAGTTACGTTGTTTCTCTCCTGCTGCTGAGTTGAATTGTTTGCCTCCTGTTGCTGAGTTGAGTTGAGTTGTTTCTCTCCTGCTGCCAAGTTGAGTTGTTTCTCTCCTGCTGCCAAGTTAAGTTGAGTTGTTTGCCTCCTGTTGCTGAGTTGAGTTGTTTTTATCCTGCTGCCAAGTTGAGTTGAGTTGTATGCTTCCTGTTGCAGAGTTGAGTTGCACGCTTCCTGTTGCTGAGTTGAGTTGTTTTCATCCTGCTGTGATATTGAGTTGAGTTGTTTGCCTCCTGCTAAGTTGAGTTGAGTTGTTTCTCTCCTGCTGACAAGTTTAGTTGAGTTGTCTGCTTCCTGTTGCTGAGTTGAGTTGTTTTCATCTTGCTGCCACGTTGAGTTGAGCTGTTGCTTAGTTGAGTTGTTCGCCTCCTGTTGCGAGTTAAGTTGTTTTCATCCTGCTGCTGAGTTGAGTTGTTTGCCACCTGCTGAGTTGAGTTGTATATCTCCTCCTGTTGAGTTGTTTGCTTCCTGTTTCTGAGTTGAGTTGTTTTCATCCTCCTGCTAAGTTGAGCTGAGTTGTTTCTCTCCTGCTGCCAAGTTGAGTTGAGCTGTTTGCCTCCTGTTGCTGAGTTGAGTTGTTTTCATCCTGCTGCCAAGTTAATTTGAGTTGTTTGCCTGCAGCTAAGTTCAGTTGAGTTGTTTCTCTCCTGCTGCGAAGTTGAGTTGAGTTGTTTGCCTCCTGCTGCAGTGTCGAGTTGAGCTGTTTGCCTCCTGTTGCTGAGTTGAGTTGTTTCTTTCCTGCTGCTGAGTTGAGTTTTTGCCTCCTGTTGCTGAGTTGAGTTGAGTTGTTTGTCCCCTGTTGCTGAGTTGTGTTGTTTATGTCCTGCTCTCAAGTTTTGAGTTGTTTTTCACCTGTTGCTGAGTTGAGTTGAGTTTATTCCCTCCTGCTGTCAAATTGAGGTGAATTGTTTGTCTCTTGTTTCTCCTGAAAACTACTCAACTCAACTCAGCAACAGGAGGCAAACGACTCAACTCAACTTGGCAGCAGGAGAGAAAGAACTCAACCGCGCGCAGCAACAGGAGGCAAGCAACTCAATTCAACTTGGCAGAAGGATGAAAACAACTCAACTCAGCATCAGGAGGTCTTGGCCCTCTAAGGGCTGTCGCGCCACTGAATTTAGTTTTAGAATATTTTTTATTGTGATTGTAATAATTGAATTGAGTGTAATTAATAATTGATTGCAATAAATATTTATTTTGCATTATAATGTAATATACGCTACGTGTTAGCGTGGGTAAAAAAGGAATAATTCGATTTTGCCACTTCCAAAACAAAAAACGATGGGAGCATCATTTTCTAAAGACGGAGAGGGAGGGGGTAGCTGGTGATAGGATTATCACGAATTTTAATTCCTCTTTCTCTCCATCGCTAGAAAGTGATGCACCTATATTATTATGTTTTAGGAGTGACCAAAATATTTTTTTCCTTTTTTGTCCACCTGAAAACATTTTTCTTAAAATTAATATTTTATTTCTTCTTGTTTTAAATGTTACCTGTTAATGTTTGAAAATCGTTAAAATTTTGATTGTCCATAAAACGGAGATAAATTTTGTTTTACAATCTTTAGGAAATGTAACTTGAATTGCCATCAGACATACAATTCAAAAGCAGGTGAGTAATTTCAGATATACACAAATAATAGTGATAGAAGCAAGAATAATGGAAAATATCGGAATTTTTCCTGACAAATTTAAGAAACATTAAAAAAAGTTAAGCAGCCACAGTTTTAAGTTTTGATAAATATGATTTGATGTTATAAAAAATAAATTAACTATACGAAAATAGTAGTGAATATGTCATAGATTTGTTTCTTTATGTCATGACTATACTAAAAATATTTTTTCCCCTTGTTTTCATAATAGCACGCATTTTACAGAAAATATTTGAACAAATTTAATGAAAATATTTTCAAATTTTTTTAAAGATTCTCTTATGAAGAAAATATTACCAATCAAAAGTTGTTCAGTATAAAATATATGCAATTTTTTTTCAAGATATTGTAAGCATTTTGAAGAATACATATTTTTTCTAAAATTGAAATAATTGAAAAAACCTAGTAAAAATGACGGAAATGAAAAGAATTATTTCTCAAACTGCGTAAAAAAAAATTTTGATGCTTTTTTCTTTAAAAATATGAACACTTAATAATGTGATGATTTATATAGGGGATTATTTTTTTAAACTTAGTTCATTAATTAAGATATTCAAAAGAAATTGATTATTCTGAAGATATAAATATTTTATTATTCCAAATTTTTATTTAATTTACAGGAATAGTTTCTATTTGAAAATTTATTTTAACCGAAATATTTATGTAATTAACTGAAATAATTGTGTGTATGTAAATTTTTCTTCCTCTTTCTTTATAGAAGGACGAAGTATTTTTTTTTTTGTTATATGAATTTTTCTAGTCTTAAACGAGAATAAGATCTTCACTTAATTCAACAAGTAATTTATAAACAAGTAACTTTTAAAAATATCCATGAGCGCAAAGATTCGTTTACGAATTTTGCGAGTTGCCTCTCAGTTACTAGATAAGGCGATAAAACAGTTGTCAAATAAAACCGCGGCGAGTGGAGGTGCCCGGTATTCGAAATTAGGGAAAATCGTGACCAGCGAGTCCCCTTTCGGAGATGCGAACGCGAATCTGATTAGCCAGTTTTTCGTGGCTATTACACCAATCAGGTTCTTATAGCATCTCCGGATTCGCAAATGTGAGTTTCTCACATGCAGTATAAATGATTCTTAAGGTCTGAAAATTTATTCTTCCATGGAAGCTATAAACTTATAATCTGTACGTAAAGAGCTTCAAAACTCTTTGAGGGACTGCCAAGTGTACTTGTTTTTTTAAATTTTTTCTACTTTCAATTTTCAATATGTTTTGGACTACAATTTGGACATTTTTTGTGAATTATAGTTTTTTGTCATTTTTCCTGTTCTCATCAAAATGCATAGCTTTTACAATCGATGAACTGAAAGCAATTAATTATGAGGTTGATATTTTACAAACCCCTTTAAAAAAAGGAGAAGTAAGCATGAATGTATTTTATCAATGGCTTTTAAAGCATTTTACTTTTATCTTTTTAGTTTTCTGAATTTATTATAAATATAAATGTTTCCTTTTTAAACTCAATGCATTAGAAATTATATTTTATTTCAATACAAATGTAACAAAATATATTTTCTAATGCTAAGCTTCATATTTTGTTACATTTGAATTATTTATTTTATTATATTTGAATTAGATTTGATAGACAGTCCACTTTTTATTGAATGAAAAAGAAGTTAGTGGATTTTTGAATGCATTAATAGTCAGGTTTTGCCGAATGTTTATAAAAAAAAAAAAGAAAAGGAGAATCTTAAAAGATTTTCACAGTTAATGGTTTTATTCTATTTTTTGAACTATAATTGTGTAATATTAAATTTTAAGTAATGAAGTTTAATTTTTTTACCTCATGTAGGAAAATTTTGGAAAAAAAAATGCAAGTAGAATTTTTACTATAATAAATAGTTTTGGTTGATTGTTTGTAATCTTGCAGGTAACATTGGAATTTGTAAAGTTAACAGGGCAAATTGATTCAGAAAATTCAGCTTTTAGGATTCACAATTAAATAAAATGTAGAATTGGGAGCCAAAAAGCTTCAAAAATGTTATTAGGATATAAAAGATAAAAAATTTAAAAAAAAGTCCTAATATACAATCGACCTTATTTAACTGTGTAATCCTTTTAAAAATTGTCCCGCAGTAGACTGATCGTAACGGCACGGTTTCCAGTAGAACACCGAAGTCAAGCTACTGTCTGAAAGCTGGTGGGTGACCACTTTGATCTGCCTGCGTAGGGACCAAGAGTGTCTGATATTGGTCCTCGTTAAACTGTTCTAACATAAAGTCACTAATTTCACACATATGTCGTCAAACTACAAAAGCAGGGGAGCCATCCCTTCTGCAGAGGATCAAAAATTGCTATGGCATGTCTTCGGATCTTTCTCAGAGATGTTTCCTAGATCGTCGCCAATAGCCCATTCTGCATCTCTAGTGCGGCGTAAATAAATTACCTACCTACCTTTTATAAATCTATAAGTGATGACATTTATATTTTTATAAGAATAGCCCATTCTGCATCTCTAGTGGGGTGTAAATAAATTACCTACCTACCTTTTATAAATCTATAAGTGATGACATTTATATTTTTATAAGAATAGCCCATTCTGCATCTCTAGTGGGGTGTAAATAAATTACCTACCTACCTTNGTAGAACAAGTATTGCATTGCTTTATATTTTTTAAATGACTCATAATAATTTTAAAGAACAAAACATTTTTTTAATTCAATATTTTTGCTTTATTTAAGCCATTTTTTGCGCAATTTTTGCATTTTTAAGGGCATTATTTGCCCTTTTTAAGTGCATTTTTTGCACTTTTTAAGGGCATTAGTTGAGATTTTTTAGGTCATCAAAATCCGGGCTATAGTGATGACATTTATATTTTTATAAGAATAGCCCATTCTGCATCTCTAGTGCGACATAAATAAATTACCTCCCTACCTTTTATAAATCTATAAGTGATAACATTTATATTTTTATAAGAGTAGCCTATTCTGCATCTCTAGTGCGACGTAAATAAATTACCTACCTACCTTTTATTACCTACCTACCTTTTAGTTACCTACCTTTACCTATAAGTGATGACATTTATATTTTTTTAAGAATAACTTTTTAAGAAATGTAATTTATATTAAATTAAAATAACAATTTTATAAAATGTAAGCAATATCTAGCCAATTATAAATATGTGTGAAATAGAACTTATATTAAATCAAATAATAATTAAATAAAAAAATTTAAACAATGTACAAACAATTATATTAAATAAAATATTAAATAATGTGTGATAAAATGGTAGAATAAAATTATGTGTAAAACAAAACTTTTGGTGACCCCATTATTTTATCCATTGCACAATGAAATAAACTAGGCAGATCTCTTATTGTAACAATATAAAGATTTAGATCAGTAATTATATTATTATTTTGTCATTAATTTAATGAAATTAAATTAGAAAAAGTTAACTGCATTTATTTTCTTTTATAAATGTATTTTGAAACATTCAGGTAGACGGTAACCAAAATTAAAAGTTTAAAATTTAAATTTGTTTTTACTACAAAACAAATGTTTGTAGCAATTGCTTTAAATGCAGGGTTATTTTTAAATATGAATCCAGTTTAATTAATTTGTATTTATTGCAGTATAAATTACTTTAGCTTCTACATTCCAAAAGAAAGAGAAAAGTTAAAAGTGTTTTTTAGCAATATGTTATAAGTTTTCAATGTTCATGTCCCCTTTAGCTGCAGGCAAACAACTAAACGGTGACTGATTTTGTCCCACATAGGAAAAATCATCCCTTGTGATACTGAGTACACTGTGGTAACGCTATGAGTTAAGATATTTGCTGTAGAAATCGTGTGTTGGGGACTATTTTTCCAAATTGTTGCCAAGGCGAACATTGATGTTAAAGAAGAATAAAAAATAAAATGTTGATTTGAAACTTCTGGAATGGTTTGCAGCCTAACCAGTGTTTCACTAACAAGCAGCGCATAATTAGGTATAGAAATTTAGAATGTGTGAGCTGCACTATTGCTCTATTTGCTAAGCTTATTGGGAAATATGGCATTGTTTTGTAATATAAATTGTAATACTATGTGTAAAAGGAATTGTTTGTTTAATTTGTTTTAAGAGTGATTTGTTTGCTCAGGATCCTACTTTTCCTGCATTACAATTAACTTCCATCTTTGGTCAAGAATATCAATGTATGCTTCCACATATTGAAGAAGAAGAATTATCTGAAAAAGTAATTTACAGTGAAAAAAGTACTGACATTAAAGAACTTTTAAAGCCAATGCATGCAGGCAACTGTTTATTAAAAGTAAGTTATTAAACAATTTTATGAAAACTTCATTAACTATTTATTTTTAAATATAATTTTTATGTTTAATTTCCATTTACAGCATTTTTAAGTTAGTGTGAAAGGGTTGGGCAAAACAAATCATCAAAGTTTTTTGAATCAATGGAATAAATTCAAATCACTTACAGATTCAAATTAGTTACTGATTCAAATCACTAAATGATTTGAATCAAGGGATTCGAATCTTGCGATTGCGATCACTATTTAGATTGGGGATATGAAGCAAGGGATGCAAATCACTGATTCGAATCTTGTGAGTCGGATCACTTTTCGATTTAAGTGATTCATATCACTATTCGAATCATGCCATTTGGATCAATGATTCGAATCAAGTGATTCAATTATTGATTCAAATCATGTGATTCGAATAACTGATTCTTTTGAAGTGATCCAGGTCACTGATTCGAATCTGCGATTCGTATCACTTTAATTCAAGTGATTTAGACCAATGATTTAAATAATGTGTTTCGGATCACTGATTCAAATCAAGTGATTCAGATCATTGATTCTCATAAAGGGATTTGAATCATGCATGTTTGGATCATTGATTCTCATGAAGGGATTCAAATTATGCTTTTTCGAGCGCTATTCAAATCAAGTGATTCTGATTATTGATCCAAATCAAGTGTACAAATCAAATTCAAATCATGCCATTGATTTGAATCAAATAATTCAAATCATGTGTTTATAACAATTGATTGTTATGGAATGAATTAAATCTATGATTCAAATCATGTGATTCAGATCTTTATTCGTATCAAGTGATTCGGATCAATGATTCGACTAAAGTCATTCGGATTATCATAAAAAGATTTTAATCATAAATTTTTGGATCATTGATTCTCATGAAGGTATTCGTATCATACGTTTGGGAGCACTATTAAAATCAAGCAGTTCAGATCAGTGATTTGAATCAAATGATACAAATCACTGATTTGAATCGTGATTCCGATCACTTTTCGAGTCAAGTAATTCAGATCAATGATTTGAATCATGCCTTTTGATCAATGATTCGAATCATATGATTTGTAACGACAATCTGATGTACTTGATTTGAATAGCTCCAAAACGCATGATTTGAATGGCTTCATTCGAATTGATGATGCAGATCACTGATCGGAATCATGTGATTTGGATCAATATTCAATTAAATAAAGTGATTCAAAAGAATTAGGTGTTACAAGAAATTTTTAATTGTATATGACATAACATTACTGCGAAACAAAACTAACTTAAATTTAAGAATTGATTATTCATTATAATTTAAATCCATTTTGATAAAATGGTTTGAATCACTGTTTCAAACTTCAATTTTTTTTCTGGAAGAAATATATTTTTTAATCTGGTGGAGTTCTCCTCAATGCCTCACTATATAGCTCGCTTTAAATAATAATAACTCCGTAGTGATGATTATAATAATAAAAAAAAATTTAGTTTTCAACTATTGTTGCAGTTAAGGATTAATCTATGTTATTTTATTTTCAGGCTAAAGATTGGTGGACTTATGAGCTATGTTTTGGGCAGCATATAAAGCAGTTTCATATTGAAGGTGTCTGCAGTATTTTTACATTTGTATTTTCCTTTTATATTGTTTGATACATTAAGTTCAGTGATAAGTAACTACAAGTATTGATTTATTTAACAATGTTAAGCTATATCTACAGCCAAATGAGATTGAAGCATTTATAATTTTTTATTTAAAGCTAACAATGGAATTTCAGCAAAAAATATAACTGTTAATTAACATTTTTAAAATAACAAATGCATTGTTAATTCATGATTTTTTTATTCATTTAGGGAAGATACCATATTGTAAGATTTTGTAATTAAATGTATAGGAATTACACTCGAGTACCCACCGTTTAGGAATTATATTTGTGAACTTTAAAAGCTAGTAACTGGTTCAATGACACGATTGCCACAGGCTACTAAAATGCAACTGTTTTCGGCAGGGTTTGTTGATTTAAATCAGCTTGATTTAAATCATGATTTAAATCAAATGATTTTTTTTTAAAAATCATTGATTTAAATCAACTGATTTTTTTAATATATATATTGATTTTAAAAGTTAAATAACAGTGTTTCAATTATTGATATTTTTATTATTTTCTTTTCTTAGTTTTAAAATTTATTTTAAATAAATTGCTACATTAATTCATTTTAGTAATTAATTCATTAATTCATTTCAACAAAAAAAATGCAAATAATGTTAATTAAAATTGTACCTTTTGATTGAAAAAGCATGGAATTAAAATCTACATTATATTTTATTGATGTAGGATTAAAAATGAATATTTTAATATAAAAATTTATAGCTTAAATATTTATTTTTTGATGAATGATAACATTTATAAACACAATCTGTTACATTTATTTTGTCATTTTAAAAATCAAGAGGAAGGAAAAGAAATCACAATTTTAAATTAAAATTATGGTTTGCTAATTGAAACTTTGCTTTAATAGTTAAAGTACAGGAGTCTGTCCAAGCCAAATTTACTACCGTTTAGCGGTACAAATTCAACTTTAGGAAAAACTGTAGAATAATTTCACAAAATATTTTTTCTTAAAATTTTATTTTTGTGTCACGTAAGAAACGATAAATCCATATTTTTACAATATTTTTGTGTTGATTCTTTAATATAATTTTTTATTTTTACAAATTATGTCTAAATTTTCACAAAATAGGTGCCTTTCAGAGAAACCTAAACAGACCCCTGAAGTATTCTTTAAATTCTCTATTTCATCTAGTCTTTAAATTTCAATCATGTTCCAAAATGGTTGCCATGTATTTAAAGTTATGTATTATAACGAAAAATTATTTAAGTAAGTTAGAGCTCCTAAAATATTGTTATAATATAGTTTTAATGTTAATTTAATTTTGATTAAACATTTATATAGTATTTTTAATCATAAATTAAATTTCTTACACTGTTTTTGAATAAAAAGCAAAAAATCTGATTTAAATAAAAAAAAAAACAGATTTAAATAAAAAAAAATCACGAACCCTAGTTTTCGGCAATAGGCAACTTTTTTTTCCCTGAAAAGGCTAAAAACGCAACTATTTTCAGAAAAAAAAGACCGTTGGGAGACTTTTCTGTACTAGTGATGTTTTTTAGCATAAATTGAGTTGAAAACCTGTGGCCTGCGAGAGTTGCTGAACACACTGAATTATTTTTTTTTATTAAAAAATAAAAAATGTGGAAGATTTTGAATTGCAAATTTGAGTCATCCCTTTTTATTTTGCTCAATTTGCACTGATTGCATTGTAAGATTTCATTTCTCGATCGCCTTTTCCATTGCTCCAAAATTCTGCATGATTTTAAAAAACCCAATTTTTAATAGTATATGACAATTAAGTCATTTAATAATATTTTAGTCATATTTTTGACAATTTTTTGTTCTTATTTAGGCAACTATTTTCATAGTTTTTAAATTAAAATATTTTTAAAAAAAAATAATGCTTGCTGTTGCAAATATAACATTTTTAATTTTTAAAAAAGATTTTAAACTAATGATAATTATTGAAAATTAGAATGAGAGTAAGTAACACCATGACTTTTTAAAAAAAACTATTAGAACTGCTTGATTTTTTTAAAATCTGAATTATATGCTTTTAAAGTCTGCAAAGATGACATTCCTTTTTAGGAGAACTGTCCAAAACTAAATATTCTTATAAAACAAATAATATTCTAATTAAATTAATTAATGATATTCTAATAAAAATAACCCTAAAGTATAAAATTTCCATTCAACCATTTAGTCACCAGTCCATTTACATGCTTCTGTTAAATTTGTTTCGAAAAAAATTAATACAGTTATTTTAAATGAAAAATTACAATACAAAGAATCTGTAATGTTCACAGGTGCTATGAAATAGGCTATTTTGTGGCAAGCACACAAAGCATAATATGGAACCAAAAAGAAAAAAAAATTAAAACAACATATCCTTCATTTACATTGCTTGTTGGCCCGGAGGATCACTGATAGTTTATTTTAAGGTGGTCCAAGTCAAATTTTAGTGGTCTTGGACTAATGGACCACTCTAAATTTCAAGCCTAGTTTCAATGAACACATAATAATAAAAGTGCTGAAAAGTAGGCAAGTATTGTCCCTTTTTAATGTACAGTGCACACAATTAAAAAAAAACCCGACCACCCGGAATAACTTTTGATCTAATGGTCAGATTTTCATGTTCTAGGATACAATCTTAATTAAAATTAACATTAAGGGATCCAAACTTTGGCGTGCTCTCCTGACCAAGAAATTAGGACCACAATTTCCAGATTGCAGCTACCCCCTATATTTTAGGAGTCAAAAATCCGAGCCCGTTGAATTAAAGATATGTTTATTCACATACAGTATGTTTTTTTCATGTCCGATTTTGAAACTTAAAATATCGGCTGCACTTATTAATTAGTATATTTTAGGTCACCCTCTCGAGCCACAACAATTGAATCGCGGAACGTAAAAATCTGATCATTAGATCAAAAGTTATTCGAGTGCGCACTGAACGAGTACTTTTGAATATTTCTTATAATACAGTTCATTTTTATAACATTCGTATGAAATTTTTTTGAAATATTTTTGTTTTTTGTTAGATGGTCAAATTATTGGTCAAGTTCTAACTTTAGGATTATATGAATCTGATTATGACTGGAACAATGAAACTGATGAGGTATTGATATTTGGGATGATCTTAGTTGTTTTATTGATTTCAAAGAATTTCTACCTTTGTACTTGTTATTATTATTCTTTTTAGGAAAAATTCAAACATACGAAACAGCGATATCATTCACAATACTATGTTAATGGAACAAAGTGTGATTTGACTGGTCAACCTCGTACTGCTGAAATCAGAGTAATAAATTGTTTTATTTTGTATTTTATTGTATTTAATATAGAGGTTCATTTATTAAATACGTTATTAATTAAGTTATATTAAACGAAGAAGTAAAATTTAATCCACAAAAGGTATTTACATTAGTTTGGCTTGAGAGGAACCTTTAGTTTTTGCAATTTAAGAATTTTCAAAACATTGTTTTTTTGTATTAATATTAATTTTAAAAACATTCTTTAATTCCTACATCTCAGTAAGCCCAGATCGCAAAATAAGGTTTATTTTCACTCAACAAAAACCTTTTAATGTAAACCTAAAAGGGTTTGTAATACGGTTTATGTGTAAATATTCTAACTTTAAAACGAGATCTATGAACCTTGGAAAACTACATTCTATATAAAAACCTTAAATCAAGGTTGACTTAGGGTTTTCAAGCATGAAGAAATTCTTTAATAAAGCTCTCAAGGTGAAAATAATCTTAAATCTGGTTAATTATAAGGTTTTTTTTCGCAAAGTCTTGTATGCTCAGCTGAAATCCACCTTGTCATGAAATTTTAAAGGGCAATGCAATTTGATTCTATCGCTAGTGTGACGTCAGCGAAAACGTCATTATAGACCTAAGTAACAATACTTTTTTGAAAAAGCTTAAAAAAAAAAAGCTTTAAAAAATTATTTTTAATCCTTTTAGGATGAAAGGGTTGAAACTGCAATATTTTTGCTCTATTTAAAAAAGGTTTTTAGTTCTAACATTTTAGTGACAATGAAACGGAAATTCCGATGCAAAGTTGCCCTAATGTTACATGCTTTCTGGGAAGTAGACAGTTTAAAAATGGAATTTCTAGCTTAACGGTACATCTTTATATTCTACCTCATTGTTAACACAAAACCATGTTTTTTTGCTATTTTTTTTTGTTTCCTAAATATAATTACTTAAACATTTCTCAGAATTCTAGAAAAACTGATTTTTGAATGGAAAAAAAAAGTATATATTTTTTTGTGGAAAAGTATAAATTTAGCTAAATTGTACTTTTAATATTGAATTTAAAAAAATAAGTCCGTATACAATAAAATGTAGATTAAATTTTCAAGTTTAAATTATTTCACTCTATTTTTTGCAAATTTGTATAAAATTTGGAAATGAATTAATCATGCATTTTTCATTAAAAGCTTGAATATTACAAAAATAAGTTATTATTTGCTTATTAAATACTTATTATTTTCATAAAGGTCTCACCTAATAATTAAATTTAAATTTTTTTTTTTATTCTTATTTTGCGTAAATGCCATTTTGCTTGATATCACTTTTTAGATATTTTGCGAAGAAGATTCAGGAGACTACATTCATCGTGTCGATGAGCCTGGAACTTGTAACTATGTTATAACTGTTCATACTTCACGTGTCTGCTCGCATCCACAGTTGAAGCCTTTGCCATCTAAAAAAGCTCATACTATTCCGTGTTATCCTTTATTGAGTGAAGAACAATATGCTAGTTACTTAGAAAAGTTAAATGGTATGTAACAACTTTAAAGACACTTTAAAAATTTGCATTTCAAGATTAGAGCAAATGGTATGTAACAACTTTAAAGACACTTTAAAAATTTGCATTTCAAGATTAGAGCAAATCAATGACCAGATTTTAAGAATTTTTATTTTCAAAACTATATGTGGAGAGAGTTGACAGCGACCATGTCAATCTTCATCTGTGAAAAGGTACCCCATAGTAGAATTGAGTTAACATGTCTTATATACTAGGGAATTGGAATTGAATTTTTGTATTGGCAGATATCTACAGTACGCCCCCACCAGAATTTTATCTGTGATAGAATTCGATGGATGGGATACCACTAGTTGATTCATTGCTGTTTTGTGAGAAGCCTGGAGAGCTGTATTAAGATCACCGTACTTTTGAGTGCTTATTGTGAGAGCTGTATTAAGTTCACAGTCGTGGTTGCTCCTGTGTTGCCATTAGCAGTCGAGTGGATACAGGCCGACGTTGTGTGTGAGTGAGACTGAGTAGCAACAGCATGAGGAGGTCAATGTCGCAGTCACTAGTAGCAAGTCAACTGTTCAATGTGGACCATCCATCAAAATAGACATGTTCAAATCGAAGTGGGTGTTACTGTCAAGGTAGATGTGTTTAAAATGAAGTGGGAGTTTCTGTCAAGGTATAGCAGGTTCACATCACTTCCAGGTCACCAATATGGAGAGAGTTGATAGCAACCGTGTCAACCTTCATCTATGAAAAGGTACCCCCTCAGCGAATCGAGTTAACATGTCTTATATACTAGGGAATCGGAATTGTATTTTTGTAGTGGTAGATTCACTACACTCTAACCTATTTCTAAAAACATGTACTTAAACTTAAACAAAATGCAGTAAAAGATCGGTATAATGAGTATGGCATAGTGTGAGAAGTCGGCTGTTAGAATAAAAGTTACTGTCAAAATGCTGACATTAAAAATACAACATTTTTAAATGTTTATTCTGACTGTTCATTTCTACCCTTGTTTAGCACTTTAACTTCTTCATATAAAACATATGAAATGTGTTATTTTAATGTCTATTAAAATAATTACCAATTTAATTACCTTTTTTTTAAAAAAAAAAAAGAAAGAAGGAGTAAGCTTTTATTTATATCTCCGTGGCAGAATCGCAGTGACACGGCGACATTGTCGCAGAAAGTTACACATGTTGCAGAAAGATTTTTCTTTCGGAAAGTAAAAAAAAAAAAAATTCTTTTCTACAGAAATTTGCATGTACTGTTTGAATCATGCATTTAGATAATAACTTTTTGATGCGTTCAATTTACGTCGATAGTATCGTAAATCGATGTAACGTTTCGATTGTATTTTCGGCAGTTATTGATATTGACTTTTACTTGGTTTAAAATTTCTCAATATATTCCAAACAAAAATGAAAATTCGAATCGTGCATTTGAGTATTTGCTTTTTAAGGCAATGATTCTATTGAACTTTTTGCAGTTATTGCTATTGATTTCTCCATAGTTTTTGAACCCGATATTTTTTATGCGATATTACAATTATTTATTGTGCATTTGAGTAACACCTTTTTGAAGAGTCCAATTTGCGTGATTTTGTCGTCAATCTCTTTTTTTCGACCACGGATTTCATGATTTTTAATTACTTTTTTTATTGTGATGATTATTTATAAAATGTGAAGAAGGAACTAATTTGTATGTTACCCTCCTCTCTTCCTCAACAGAATGTGAGAATGTCATCCGTAATATTAGAATAAAAGATTATTTCATGTTAAATTAAAAAAAATTATAGTTTTATTTTGTAAACACAGCTAATTATTTATTAACTAGTTTAATTTAATAAATAATAAGTACTATAAATTATTTATTAAATTAAACTAGTAATTATAAATAGTTAGTAGTTATTATTAATTAAATTAGTAACATATATCTTTGTTATTAAAAGTATCTTGCAGAAAGATATTAGTGCTACACAGTTTTGTCCCAAATAGCTCGAAAAAATTCTGCCACAAAGTTTATATGTATGTTTTTGGGATAAGCTATCCTAAAATAGTGTATAATGAAAATAATCTGCCCTGTTATCTCTTTAAAATCTGCCAAAGATTTCAAACAAAATGTCTACAAAGTAAAGTGTGTGTTTTGTAAATGTTTTAATAAGATGAGGTTTCACTGGATGTCTTTATTTACGCAGATATCTATTCTCTTTTTACACATGAAAAGATGTTAGCTGACTAAAATAGAAGTAAATTTCTTAGTAACCAACGGGTGCGCTTGCTAAAACATATGAAACGTGTTATTGTAATGTCTAATAAAATTACTAATTTAATTACCTTTTTTTAAGAAATAAAACCTATTTTTTTAAAAAATGAAGGAAAGATTTAGAACAAAATGACTACAAAGTACCCTTACTTATCAATTTAACTTCTTCATATAAAACATATGAAACGTGTTATTTTAATGTCAATTAAAATCATTACTAATTTAATTACCTTTTTCTTAAAAAATAAAACCTATTTAAAAAAAAAGAGTAAGCTTTTATATATATCTATGTTTTTGGGATAAGCTATCTTAAAATGGTGTATAATGAAAAAAATCTGCGTTTGATTCTCTTTAAACTCTGCCAAAGATTTGAAATGAAATGTCTACAAAGTAAAGTGTGTGTTTTGTAAAAGTGTGAAGTTTCACTGGGTGTATGTATTTAAGCAGATATCTATTCTCTTTTTTACAGACGAAAAGGTGTTAGCTGACCAGAAAAGAAGTCAATTTCTTAATAACCAGCAGGAACGCTTGCAGGAAATGAAAAATGAAAATTCACAGCAAAGTGAGAAAGATAGTAGCCAGAAATATGAAGACCTTTACAAAAATTTTATTGAAGACTCATCTGGTTCATTCATAGATGATATTTCAGTTAATAAGCTTGAAAAAAGCGAAGGTATCTATTTAGATATTTTTAATGGTGCTCCCTTCTATGACAATTGCCTTTTTTATGCAACTGTCATCGAAGGAATGCAACTGTTTTATGAGGGTTGGAACTAGAGTGTCATAAAATGTAAAATTATAAAATAAAATACATCATGTTTAACAATTTTCTTAAAAATGTAAATTGATTTGTATTTCTTAAGTAAATTTCGCCAAATGGTTATGCTTTAAAAACAAAATGCAGTTGGGAAAAAATTCACAACTGTCCTCATCAAACTTTCTAATTTAATTTTCTACTGCTTCAAGCTACGGGTATTTTTAGTCTTCTTAACTAATTTTCTGTAACTCTTAACAAAAACATTTTTTTTTGTGGTCTTGAATTAAATACAGCGTGTTTAATACGAAAGGAGAGCATAATTTTTTTCTCTTTCTGATTTTTATCAAAAAAATCTATTAAAATCTCGGAATTATATTTGTTTTAAAATATAAAATTAAAAAAAAAAGCAATTTGATTTTTTTTACCATTCATATTCAAAAATTTATCAATAATGAATTTTGTAAACTAAAGAAATTTAAATGATGAATTATTGTTTCTTTTAGATATACATTTTTTTTTCTGTTAGGAAAACTTAATTAATGTGTAAGAACTAGTATAACTTTCTCACATTTTGAGGGAACCAAAGACAACATGACTAAAATCAGAGCATAAAAATAAAAGACTTATTTTCCAGAAAAAGGTACAGTCACAAAACTGAGTGACTAACTTAAAATAAATTAAAATACAAAAGTGTATAGCACACTGAGTAGTAGTAAATACTTTGTGATTTCATAGAGTTTATATATGCTGGGAGAAGTGCATGATAACAAAAATGACATCTGTATCTTGCAGTCGGTTACAGCCAATTTTCAAAAGCAGAAAGAAAATCAGGATGTGCTCGATGACAGGTTGCAGGTTCGGTATTACCTTCGATCTAGTACTCCCATACAAATGTATTTAAATGCTCATCTCAATTATTTTTATAAAAATTTAAAATTTAATTTTTTTCTAAAATTTTTGTACAAGCTTAACTGTAGTTGAATTTCCTTAAAAAGTTCATTCTTATTGGTCAATTTTGCCTATGTTAATATAGCTGGGGCCTTTATGCTTTAATCTGGTGTGCTCACAAGCTTAGAAAACAATTTAGTGTGCAGTTCTAATCCTTCAATTTTAAACTTTCTTCCAACAGGACAAGAGCATTAGACAAGAACCAGGAGTCTGTCTAGGTTTTTTTTAAGCGGTACCTATTGTGTGAAAATTTAGACATAATTTTTGAAAATTAAAAATTATATCAAAAAATCAACACAAAAATTTGGTAAAGTAAGAAAATATTTTCAAAAATTGTCACTACAAATCAAAATCGTTTATGATTGGTAAATTTCTATATATTTCCCCCCTTATATTTAGAAAACAATTTTGCTAATGTAAATTTTGGGCTAAAAATTGTATCTAAATTACAAAATCCATAGAAATCATTGTCCATAGTTAAAATTCAATTTGAATTTTATAAAAACATGCATTTCAACAGTACTAGTACTGAAAGTTATTTTAATTATGAGAAAATTTTTGAGTGGGTCATACAGAATAAAGGTTCAGAGAAAAAAATATGATTTTTATGAAAATAAAGGTCTGTTAGAATAAATTAACAATGGTGTTTAAGATAATGGTCCAATTTTGACTTCCTGTGAAGTTCATAGAGCGAGAGTCTCACCGTTTCATTTAAAAAAACTCAGCAAAAAAAGGCTCACTTTAATATGGTGTAAGCGACCGGTTATTCTTACCACATTACACTATCTGACTGAACAGCTACCTTTTCGTAAAAAACAGCTTGCAGAAAAGCTCCTCTTTTCCGTAGATTGGAATGAGAACAGCGTCTGCTTGAGAACTTGCTTTATTATTTGTGAAAGTAACGTTTTTCCCTAAGTTGAACTTGTGAAAGTACCGTTAAACGGTAGTAAATTTTCCCTGGACAGACCCCTGAGAACATATCAACACTTTAGTCTAGAACATATGAAGCAATGGCTATTAAATTTAAAAAATAAATTTTTAAAAAATATCAGTGTAAGGCATGAGCAAAATTTGACAATTTTGTTTATGACCAATGTTCTAACATTTTATTGGCCACTTTTTCAAAAAACCTTTAAACAATTTAAATTTTTTTAAATATTTTTAATGTAAAGTATTTCTTCTGTGGAATTTCTCAAAATAGGGTAAATGATGTCCATTTTTGAAATAAAGAAAATTTTTTAAGTGATGTCAGGAAATAAATGATTTTCTGAGTGTTATAAAACATTCATTATAGATCCATATTTATTTAAAAAAAACAATAACAATAAAATAGACATAGGCGCATTTTTGATAAGAAAAGTGGTGATTGGCAGGCAATTTTCTAATAGTTATTTGTTATATTTAGTTTGCCCTATAGTGTAAGAAAAATGAGCATTGGCACTTTTCCTTAATGGCACTTTTTCTTTGGCACTTTTCCTTCCAGTGATGTGAATACAATGATTTTTCAAACCTTCAAAAGAAAGGCAACAATTCTTTCTCTATAGAAAAAGTAGCTTGAAATTGAAAGTTTTTGTTGCTACAACCTTGTTATTTTGCAATCTTGCCGCCTAGGCTATATCTCTGGGTCTTTGTCTGATTGAAAATGTTAAAAAGCTATTAATAAATTACTTTATTACATAGTGAATCTTGCAAAACACGATCGATTGCTCACAAAAAATATTAACTTCTTAGAGTCATAAATATTTCGAACTGAAAAAAATATATATATGCAATGAGCGCAAAATTTATCTGTAATTGTTTTGCCCCAGTCCTGTTTAACAGTCAATTCATTCTTTGTTAAATCATTTGTTTCTTCTATTAAAATTGCTGATATTTGTCAAATTAGAGCAATCTCAAGGAAATGAAGATAAAACAGAGGAGCAAGTTGAGTTATTATTATTCCAAGAATATGATAAAGGTACATTCTCATTGTATTTTTAACTGCTTAATTAATTTTTTTCATATTAAGTTAAAAAATTTTTGAGCTCTTTATGTTTTCAATTATTAAATTTTTTTTATTGGATTAGTAAAAAAAATAATAATATGCATGTGTATGCAAAGGCAAAACCCCATAGAATCGCATAAAGAAAATATATATAGGGGTAAAAAATTATATAATGAATAGTAAAATCTGTGCATGCACTTGCCTATACTTCTGTTAATGATACTTCTTTGTTGATAATTATACTTTGCATTTGCTCTATCAAAGCTTAGCTGTGCTTAATAATTCTTTACTAATAATTCTTACTAATAGTTCTTTGTTAAGTATACCTTGTTAAGTAACCTAAGTATGCCTATACCTTTGTTAAGTGTACCTTTGTTAAGTATACCTTTGTTAAGTATAACCATTGTTAAGTATGCCTACCTGATTTATACATTAAATAAAAGAGTTGATGTAGATTTAATGTAAATGCCATCTCCTTTTTTTATTTTTTGGTGCATGAATAATTAGTGCATTAATGTTGTCATTAATATATACAGTATACTCTCGATATCTCGAAAACTTTATAAGTTGAGAAAATATTTTTCTCCTAGGTATTATATATCCACCTAATGCTAATTTTAATGCCTATGTCAATATATATGGCTTATACTGTATCTAATATATGTAGTATAATCTCGAAAACCTTGTTAAGTTGAAAAAATATTTTTCTCCTAGATATTATATATCCACGTAATGTTAATTTTAATGCCTTTGTCATTTATACAGAGTATACTGTATCTAATATATACAGTATACTCTCGATAACTCGAAAACCTTGTTAAGTTGAAAAAATATTTTTCTCCTAGGTATTGTATATTCACCTAATGCTCATTTTAATGCCTATGTCATATATACAGAGTATACTGTGTCTAATATATACAATATACTCTTGATATCTCAATCTTCGATATCTCGAAAACCTTGTTATTTCCCAAAAATATTTTTCTCCTCGGTATTATATATCCACCTAATGCTGATTATAATGCCTTTGTCGAAGTATTTCTTCTCAAAACCTTGTTATGTAAAAAAATCGAAATTGAAAATGAATTTTACTGGAAAAATCACAATGTAAGTTAATTGTATTATATATTATATGTCCTCGGTATTATATATCCACCTAATGCTGATTATAATGCCTTTGTCGAAGTATTTCTTCTCAAAACCTTGTTATGTAAAAAAATCGAAATCGAAAATGAATTTTACTGGAAAAATCACAATGTAAGTTAATTGTAAACTAATTCTTTTCTATTTAAAGCAAAATTATTTTAGTCTTACTTCGAAAAATAAAATTATAATTGTTGTACTTAGACTTATGAGCAGCTATCATTGCATACATATGTATTAGTAGTTGTTCTTATGTTCATGATTCTACTTTTTATAGAGAAATATTTTTGTTCTAATTTTTAGAACATATTTATTTAGTTCTGAACTTGTTATCTCGAAAACTTGCCATCTCTAAATTTTTTAGCGTCCCTTCGACTTATGAAAGTATATTGTATATTAAAAAAAAATATGTGTTTGGGCCTGTAAAAATTATATTCTGTTATGTTTACTGTTGACAGGGCATGTAAACATCTTGAAATTTTTTTAGACTTGATTTTGTCTTTTCAAACTATTTATATTTCTTGGGACTATTATTTTAAAAATAAAAAGAATTAGGTTTTCATTTTGTAATTCCTGGTTCTTTTTTTTTCTTCCTGTTTTTGCAGAACTTGAAAAATTAAAGTCATTTATAACACCTGAAAAGTTTGCTGCAGTAAAGCACAACATTCAAGAATTTTTTGATAATGTTATAAATGAGGTAAGTTATAATTTATTCTTTTTTTTAATCAATTCAATGCAGTAGAACCTTTTGCTGTAGTTAGAAGATCACATTTGTTCAATAGGTTAAACGAGCACAAGGGTTTCATTGGCTTATACCAAGTGATCGGAAGTAGTGCACTAGTAGTTTGCTACTTTTATTTGTATTTTGTATACTACTTTTAAAAAAAAGAAAAACAGTGTTGCGAATAGTGTTATACAAAAAAAAAAAAAAAAAAAAAAAAAAAAAAAAAAAAAAAAAAAAAAAAAANGTGATGGCTGATAACTATTTTTAACGTTAATTTAGTAAAGAAATAAGATTCCTATGCTACTTATTTCTCAAATATGATTGAAAATCTTTGCAGATTCGTCAATGAACAAAATAAAATGCCCCTCTGGTAGAGCATTAATAAGAATTATGTGTTATAAGAATTACTCTGCAATATATATATATACACAGAGAGAGAGAAAAAGTAAGAAAATAATAGCAAATATAGAGTATAATAACAAACTGTGATTCCATTAGATTTTAGAAACTACGGGTCCTATTGACCCAGGGCTACCAAATTTTTGGATCCCTTTTTTCATTTATTTCAATTTTTCCCCTTCCATTTAAAATAGGAATTTTTATTCATCTATTAATATGCACAATTATAATTATATCTTTTAACAGACAAAACAAAGAATTTCAAAAAAAGAATTTTTTTCCCCACCTATCAAAGCTTTTAATTAGGCTGATCAAATGCCTGCTTCAAGGAAAAGCAACAATGTAATTTGATACTCAGAATTATTTTGATTTTCTTCTTCAGCTATGTGTAACAAAGACAAAGAAATTTTTTTTTGTATGTCTGTTTAAAATTCGTTATGTATTTATGTTTAAAATTCGTATGTTAGAATTTTTTTTTATATGTATATTAAAATTTGTATGTTTAAAATTCGGTTATAATATTTTTTTTTTGCATAAATGTACAATCTTGCTATTATTTTCGTGCTGAAGATTTATGTGTAACAAAGGGTATTATAACTTATCCCCTTTACGATTTTTGGCATATTTGAAACACTATAATGAATTTTTAAAAATTTTTTATATCCGTTGTTGAACAGTTGGCCCAATTTTGGGTTTACGACTACTAATGTTCAACTCCGTAGTCTTGTAATTTTGAACAATCTGGAAGACAAGGAAACTCCTTGATCAGTACCCCCAGAGGTTTAGATTTGTTATGGGGTCATGAAGGACTTTGCAACTCGACAGATTTAACGTGCATCAGTCACCATTTACTACACGGGGAGTCTTCGGCTGGCAGGGATCGAACCCACGAACTCTTGGACATAGGATCAGTGCCCTACCAACTAGGCTATCTCAGCCTCACTCTAATGATTTTTTTTAAATTTTGTAACTGTCGTTGAACAGCCGACCCAATTTTATGGGTTTACGACTACTAATGTGCAACTCCGTAGCCTTGTAATTTTAAGCCCAATCCAGAAGACAAGGGAGAAATTTGCCTTCGCGGAGGACTTTTTTATGGAACTAATCCGCCTTTGCTTTACATGAAGAGGAAGACCTCGAAAACCTTCCACGGTTAGCACAACGGCAAGGGGACTCAAACCCATGATCCGTATACCACTGAGGATATGTCACATCAGCACTGTGGTCAGTGCAAGCCGGATGTAGAATTAGTATCGACCAGCCATCGCCAGGATCGCACACCGGTTCACCACATTGGAAGGCGAACGTTTTATCCCATGAGCCATCTCGGCTGTCACTATAATGATTTAATTTGATTTTATGTCTGTCGTGGAACTGCTATACCAATTTTTGGGTTTATGACTACTAATGTTCAACTCCATAGCCTTTTAATTTTGAACCAATCCCGAAGACAAGAAAACTCCTGGATCAGAACCCCCAGAGGTATTGATTTGTTATGAAAACATGGAGGACTTTGCAACTCGACAGATTTAACGTGCATCATTTACCATTTATTATACGAGGAGTTTTCGGCATGCGGGGATCGAACCCACGAACTCTTGGACATGGACCCAATGCCCCATCAACCCGGCTATCCCAGCTTACTATAATGATGAAGTGAAATCACTAATAATTATGTTTGCTGGATACTTTTTCTAAATTAATAACTTGGAATTAAGAAATTTTCTTTCTTTCTTTAGGCCGTAGAAGATGAAAATTCGGAACTTACTGAAGAAGATAAAAATGATGCGTATGTGAAGCTTACTACAACACTAAATACACTTTTAAAAAAATTGGACAAAGCAGAAAAAGATGTTGTGGAAGCTACAAAAAATCTTAATAAAGAAATAACTTCAATTTCTGAGTCTACAACAGATGGTAAAAATAGACATTATACTCTTCAACAAATAAAAATTATCCACTTAATTAATTTTAACATTAATTATAATTAATAATTATGAAACATATTTTTCCTAATTCAAGTTGTACAGCTCTAATATTTTAATTTAATTATGATTCTCTCTTTAGAAATCTTTATCTCTTTTTTTCAAACTATGTTATTTCACTATGTTATTTCATTTATATATTTTTGTAATTACAACATTTCATTTTTCGAAAACTACAGTTCTTGAAATATTCATATTTAATTAAATTTTTTTTCATCAACTCACATAGATAAAGAAGCAGAAAGTGTTAAGAAGAAAAACTCTGACAATGAAGGCAAGCAATTTCATTTAATTGATAAAAATAATCATTATACTCTTCAACAAATTGAAATTATTCATTTAATTAATTTTAAAATTGATTATAATTCATAATTATGATTCTCTTTTTAGCAATTTTTATCTCCTTACAAGCTTTTTTTTTTAATTTCAATTATTTTATTTTATTTATATATTTTTGTAATTACATCATTTCATTTTTTGAAAATTACTATTCTTAAAATATTCGTATTTAATTAATTGTTTTTTCTTCTTCTTCAACTCACATAGAAGAAGAATCAGAAAATGTAGAGAAGAAAAACTCTGACAATGAAGGTAAGCACTTTAATTTAATTTAGAAACTGGATTATTGAAAGCACTTGAGACAGAACATATTTAAATTTAAAATACAGTCAGACCTATATTTAACGAAGTTGCTAAATCCTGAAAATAAGTTCGTTGTATGGGAAATTCGTTAAATAGAAAACCATCTTTCGAAATACTTAAACAACACAAAGCAGGTTTTAAATTTATAAACACTAGACATAATTAAAATATCAATTGATGCACCTTTATCTTATAAACTAGTATCTAATATTTATTTTATAAATATTAGCCATAACAGAAATCTGCACACAAGCAAGAATAGAGCAAAACATTATCCAGTGTTACACCATCACGCTACATACATTTTCAACTAAAAAAAAAGTTAAATTTATGTATAAAATTATAGCTGCATTTATTTGCCGTATAAAATTATAACTAAGTAATTTGAAACATACATTACCTTATGCTTTCTTAAGTGGCTTCGAAAATCAATTGAAGGTCGTTTCCCCCACAAAAATGCATTAACAAGTTTGAAATATTTTGGGAAATAGGGAAAGTGAAAAGTTCGTTAAATAGAAAGTTCACTTCGCTATTTGGAAGTTATTTTATTAAGAAATTTCCAAAATATTCTTGGTTCCTCGAAAAAATTCGCAAAATAGAAGTTCGTTAAAAAGAAGTCCGACTGTAATTGATATCATTGTATTGCAGAAATTCATCCATTTATAAATGAAAATCCTTTGTCAAAGGTAATTAAACAAAAGAAAAAAGAAAAAGTGTAATATAAACATAATGTAAATATTCCAGTTATTTTATTTCATTAATTTTAAAATTTCACTATACATTATTTTCAAAAGAGATAATAAGGATTGTATAGTTTGGAATCCCTTATAGCTGCAATCTCGTGCTCCTCCTTGATTTTATGTTCTTTTTGCATGCCTGATTTTGCCTTTTTGAGCTAAATATCTTGAATTTACTGATTTGAAAGCTTTTAGATATATTGATGATTTAATTGTGATAATTATGATTTTATTTTTAATATTTATCCTAAAAATTTGGTTTTGAAGAATACTAATGATGATTGCTTAAATGTTGAACATTTAGATTTTAAAATTAATGTTGCTAATAATCAAATTAAAATTGGTGTTTATGATAAAAGGAAGGCTTTTAAGTTTAACATTATTTTTTTCTGTAATTTTGATACTAGTTAGTGCAGTAAAATTTCCAAAAATTTAGTTTTTTCTCTATTGTCTGGAATTAATAAAATGTGCAATAATGTTGAGAGCTTTCAAGAGGCAACAAGTAATTTTTTTTAAAATTTGGAAAATAATGGTTTTTCTTTTAATTTCTGTAATATTGAATTAAAAAAAATGATAAAAATTATTAGTTTCGTTTTCTTTTAATGGGGCATGATCAAGTCTTAGCTGAGTTGCCCCGGTTAAGCATTTCCACTAATGATAGCAACTGCTTTCTTGCTCCATTTCTTTTCTTTTTTCTGTCTTCTGCGCATTAAATTAGAGGGCGTTGTTTTTTCGTTAATTTCAATTTAGTTGATGCTTGGTAGTCAGTTGTGTACTTTGGTTTTGGGATTTATTTTGAAGTAAGTTTTTTAACATTGTATTCTTTTGTATTTGTATAGGTATTATACTTTTGTTTTCGCATTTTGTAATTTGTATTGAAATTTTCTCTGAACCTGGACTTTGGCGAAACCTTTGAGGAACAGAGAGAGCAATTTTTAGACATTTGTCGTGCTCTCTCGATAGAAAAGGTTTTGCATTTATGACTCCCGGGGCTGGTACCCTCTGACAACGTCAGCTTTGGTTGTCATATTTTTCATTGTTTTTATTTTTATAGTATAATGGTTTTTGTTTATTGTGTTTGTATAGTTTGGAAACCCTTATAGCGATGACCCCATGCTACTCCATATTTTTTTGTCCTTTTTGTATGCCTGCTTTTCTTTTGCCTTTTTATTTTGATCACGATTCTTGGAATCCCTGTATAATCTCACTTAATTTCAAATTGAGTTACTAAGTATGTCCACAAACACTTTAAACTGAGGAAGAGTATGAAACAATGTTTTTTCTAAAAATATTTTTTGCATCAACATAGCACAGTTTGATGATAAAATAAATCATGAACTGGTTTCTTTATACAACACAGCAAACCATACATTTCTGTCTCCTTCCTAGCATGCTTTTTTTCCTTTTTCATATAATTATTAGAAAGGGTCTATGTAGTTTCCATCATAATCCTTTACTGCCAGCTGTAGTGGCACAGGAGATAGAGCGTTTGCATTTCAATGAGGGAAACTGGGTTCAAATCCCAGCTATGGCTGATCGATACATATTCTGCCCCGGCTCGCACAAACGGCTGTGCTGACAGAAAATATTCTCTATTATAGATGGATCATGGGTTAGAGTCCCCTTGCTGTCATGCTTACTGTGGGAGTTTTTCATGGTTCTCTTCTCCATGCGATTCAAATGCAGTTAGTTCCATCAAAAAGTCCTTCACGATGTCAAAATTTTTCACTATGCGCCCCAGTCACCAAAAATTGGTAATTAAAAGTGAATGAATTTGTTCCCTACAGACAGTTAGGAGCATGGGGAAGAGATCCATGGTTGGCGAATTAGCGTAAGATAGCATAGCCAAATATAAAGCCAGCCCCCCATAATCCATATTAGATTTGAAAATACTTTGGCAATCACGAATCACCAACAAGACTGTGAGAATTAGTATAATCATGTAACTAAAACATATTTGTAGTAAGAAATTAATAATAAAGATTTATAAATAGATTTTTGTTTTCAATTAGGCACGACAGTGAATTAACAAGTCTACATTAGTATTAAAATAAAAAGTTAGCCGTTTCATTCATCCATAAGATAAGAATAAAGTATTTTATGTTTGCCTTAAATAAAAATTTACTAATTGATTTAATTTAATTATAATTTGATTAAGAAAGATTAAAAAAAAATAAGTTGTTAGAAATTATAAAAATTTTAAAAGCTAAGAAATATGTAATGCCTATTGTGGCATCACAATTATTCCCACATAGCAAAATAAGGTTTATTTTCACCCAGCAAAATCCTTTTAATATAAACCTTAAAAGGTTTAAGTGTAAACCTTCTAACCTCAAAACGAGATCTATGACAATCTGCTTTATTCTACCCTCATCCAACACCTTGGAAAACAACCTTCGATATAAAAACCTAAAAACAAGGTTGACTAGGGGTTTTCAATCATGAAAAAATTCTTTAATAAAGCTAGTCTCAATGTGAAAATAATTTTAAATTTAGGTAATTATAAGGTTTCTTTTCGCAAAAGTCTTGTACGCTCAGCTAAAATCCACCTTGTCATGAAATATTAATGGACAATGCAATTTGATCCCATCGCTAGTATGACGTCAGTCATTATGGACCCAAGTGACCATTTTACCTAAGTGATAATACTTTTTAAAAAAGTTTAAAAAAATAATTTTTAATCCTTTTGGGATGAAAGGTTTGAAACTGCAATATTTTTGCTCTACTGAAACAAGGTTTTTAGTACAAACATTTTCGTGACAATAAAAAGAAAATTCTGATACAAGGTTGCCGTAAGGTTGCATGCTTTCTGGTATTTTTGTAACTTATTTATATTCTTTTGTAAATTTATATTTAGGTGAAGAGGAAAGTGATGTTAAAATAGGCTCTTTACTCGATAAGGCTAATGTGGAGAATGATGAATTTCAAGTTCGAATTAGAAGGCTTGATCGAGCAAATTCTAATGGAAAACTTTATGAAATAGACAGAGTACAACAAAAAAAATTAGAGCAGGCTATAAAAGAAAAACTTGAAAAATATGGTGTAAATACAGGAGGTAAGCAAAAATGTTTTTTTTATATTAGTACATATTTTAAACTAGATTGTATTTAGTAAAAATTTGTTAGTTCAGTTTAGTTAAAACCCAGTGGCAGAATTGCAGTAACATTGTCGCAGATATTTATGGAGTTCTATCAGAAAGACTTTTCTTTTGAGAAGTAAAAAATTTTATAATAGAAACATAGTACATATAACTCTTCTTTTTTGTTCTCTTTTAATTGATGAAATATTTCGTGGGGGCAGCCATGGGAGTTTTTTTTTTTATACTGCTTTTTCAGCTATAGAAGTACTGTCTTTTTTTTTTCTCTTTTGAAATGAAAATTTGAATAAAATCAATAAGAGAGAAAAAAATGTTATTTAAAACAATTTTGAAAATCAAAAAAAAAATCATTTTGCCTTTCACTGGTAACTGCATTCTAATACAGGGTGTGTAGTTTTTTTAAAAAGTGCAAAAAGGTGCTTATTTTTGATTTACGTTTTTTAAAAGCCCTTAAAGGTACTTTTTTTTATTCTGAGTTTGAAAAAAGTGATTAATTTCCTACCTTTTAAAAATATCATTTTTCCTTGCCTTATCAATTGTTGTTCTAAATTGCAAAAAAAAAAAAAAAAATGCATGATTGCAATATTTATCAGAATCTAGTTATTTTACGAAAAGTTTCTGAATTTTATTGATTTTATGTTTATAAAATAAGACATTTAAACAATTGAAAACAATAATTTTTATTACTGCACAGATCCTAATCATGATTATTTTTCAGGTAGAAAGTGATTAAAAATATTTTTGAGTGCTTAAAAAAAACTGTAAAGGTGCTTATTTTTTTGTTCTGTAATAGTGTCTAATACAATTAATGTCTTATGAAAACATTATCCCTCCTTTATTAATTTCATTTTATTCTTCTCTGTTCAATATCTTTATTATGCTTTACTAATTCATTCATTATTTTCCAAACATATCATTTTAGAGAAATTTATATTTCATTTTAACTCAATGTGTAAAATTTTTCCTAATAGGTCGTAGAATCGAAGTCAAAATAATTAAAGCTGGGTATTATGGAAGCCACTTGACAGACACAGAAGCTAGTCAATTTGAAAATATGATCACCGCATTACTGGTAAAATGACCTATTTTTTTTAACTTTAGAAAGTAGCTATTGTTACAAATAAGCAACATATTTATTGAATATTTATAAATGAGAATCTTAACTTTTCTGTTACCCTGGAAAAAACTTCTTGAGAAGGTCAAGGCCCACACTGGACTGTCGAGCAATTGATGATGATGAATCTTAACTTTTCTCTTAAATTCCGAGTGATGCGAAAATAACTGGATTTAACATCCAATCAATGTGTAGTTAACAGACTGCGATATGACAGCATAGTTTGTCTAAAGTAAGAACTCCCCTAGCCATGGTGGTGACTTTGGTAACAAGGTATAATTATTTCAAGTAGGGTTGTGGGGTCACTGTTTAAGACAGGTTTTGGCTCTGGTCGGCGAGAGAAAAGGAATATTTTTCTTCGGTATACTGTGTTTTTCCTAGAGTGAAGAGGAGCTACCCTCCCTGTAATGCACTATTCTTGTTTCCATCGCAACAGACGGTCTAAGACTTTGTGACAGGGGGAGTTCATACCGAAGACAAACTATATACAGACTTAACTTTTACTGAAAAGAAAAACTTTCTTCTGATGATTTATGAGAAATTCATTATCACTGGAAATCCTTACTAGTTTAATTAGCAAGCAAATATTAAAATTCGTAAACGTTTGCTGACAGGGAATGAGAAAAGTGATTTGAGCAATGCTTATGTTATAAGGCATTTAAAAACTAAACTCATTTGCACGACAGCCCATAGAGGGCCAAGGCCTATTGTGCCCGTCTCAGTTTTCTTGACCTTGGGCTCTGGGGTGCAGGAGCAGATGTTCCAGTCAGGTGGTCAACCGAACGCGGAACCCCCAGTGTTTAGTTTCCAAGCATTTGGTACTCATTTATCAACCCACTGAAGGGATGAAAGGCAGAGTCAACCATGCCTGGCTCGAGGATTGAATCCAGGACCTGTGGCACGGTAGCTCGAAGCGCTACCACTCTGCCACCGGGTGTTGCTGTAAGGCAATTAAATCCTCTTAATTTCAAATTGTTCTTAAAAAGCAAAAAAAAAAAAAACAAAAAAANAAAAAAAAAAAAAAAAAAAAAAAAAAAAAAAAAAAAAAAAAAAAAAAAAAAAAAAAACTAACTATAATAAAGTTACAAGAAGAAAAATTTCAGAGTTCAGCAGTTTTTAACACAAAAGATTCATAACCAATATTTTAATCAAAATTTTAAAAAATTGAATTAAACCTTAAATTTTGTTTCATGCAAAGTTAAATCTTTTATTTGAATTTAATCATAAAATTAGTTTGAAGAAGCAAAATTCAAAAGAAGAAACCAAAGGGTGGGCTATTGTTGTGACTTTTGAGGTGTTTGTGATTGGCTTATATTTGCTGAGAAGGGGGAAGAAATTCAAAATAGGGATGTTCAAATATTATGCAAGAATGCTTTTATAAATATTGCATTTTAAATAGTTTTTTTTTTTCAAGTTAAAATAAGCAAGTTGCAAATATTCCTTCTATGCTTACTTTAGAGATACCATTCCTCTCCTTGATTTTTGTTTAGGTTTTAACCATAGTTATCTAGTTTTAAGATTAAATTCAAATAAACATAAATTTGGTTGGAAAATATATTTTAAATCCAAATTATGTGCTAAACCAAATTTATGTTTAAATTCCTTTTATAAAATAATCTTTTGTGTTTTTTGCTGTGCTCAAAACACTTGACCTCTGCAGGCTTGGTTGTGAGCCAAACTCAAAAATCCTGAAATTATTTTGAGTAAAATTGTGGTTTGCGAAAAATCTGGAAATTTTGCTTTTTTCCAGAGCACAATCATACCTGCCTCTAAGACCTATCTGCAGGATAGTTTTTTTTTTAATTTTTTTAAAATTTTTATACTGAATTGTCATTGAAATGCTTAGTTGGAACCACTCTAAAATTGCAAAATCTGATACAATCTTTTTAACTGAGGGAACATCTACAAGAAAGCAATTGAGAATTGTATCTTTTTTTCTACCAAATTTGTTGCTTTACAATTGTTAGGACCCTAGAAGAAAATTTATTACATGTTCATACTACAGTACAGAACCCGTTATCCGGAAATCAGAAAACCGGAAAACCAAAAAACCGGAACGAAATTCGATAAATTTTCTCGCAATTTTTATTGANCCGGATAATCGGTTTCCTACTGTATTTAATTTTACAATTTGAAGAGTCGTATACTTATTTACTACTTTTAGAAGATGCAATTTAATCTTTACATGCTGGAGATGAGTTTTTCCTATTTATTTCATTTTGTACCTTTAATTCTAATTTAAAATATTTTTAATCCAATTAACTTTTTTTAACTTTATTATTAAACTTTTTGAAGTGAAATTTCTTTTTTTGACGCCTGGTGGCTTAGCGGTAGCACTGTCGTGACACAGGTCCCTGGTTCCATCCTTGGGCCGAGCAAGGTTAACTCAGCTTTCAGTGAGTCGATAAAATGAGTACCAAGTTTGGGAGTTAAGCACTGGGGATTCCGCGTTGGGCTGACCACCCAACCAGAACACCTGCTCTTGCACCTCAGAGCCCAAAGGTCAAGAAAACTGAGATGGGCTCCGTGGGCTCTCGTGCCACTGAGTTTAATTTCTTTTTTTATAATTGAAAAAGAAAATTTTAGTGACTTATGTGAGCACTGCCAAAATTTCTTTAAAACAAACCCCTTCTCCCTTCCCACCCTATGTGCTTACATAATATTTGAAACACCCCAATATTTACATGTTCTGAAATTGTTCTTGACATTCATATTCTAGACTGGTGAACAAGAAGCAATACAAGAGATGGAAAGGAATAAGAAATTAGAAGAAAACTATAAATTTATTTGGAAAAATGAAAATGATGAAGAAAATGACTAAGTTTTTTTACATCAGATTGTTTAATTTATTGTGTATATTGTAAATTTTCTGTGATCATTAAAAAAAATTTTTAAATTAGATTTTTTAAATTTACTGTAAGCAGGTATGAAAATTAATAGTTTTGTACCATGGGTGCAAGTCTTCCGTCCCCAGGACGGATTTCCGTCTTTCGAAAGTGTCCGCGGACGGAAGTAAGACGGAAACAAGACTGACTCGAAGACGGAAATAGGAAAAAAACATTTCTGTCCTTAAAAATATTTTTTAGGTCTACGTTATTGGTCTACTTTCTTTGTTGTTATTTTACAGAGATGAAAGACTTCCGCGGAAATCCGCTTTTTTCTCCCAATTTTTAAAATTTCCAACCATGTTCCAAAAACTAAAATTTTTGAAGAGTTAAATTAAAGAACCCAAGCCGCCCGAACGATAGTTGGATTACCGCGACTTCCGCTATAGAGTGGAAAAGAGTCTAAGCGTTTCGTTTCTGACCACCGTTATTTGATTTCTTTTGTTTGGCTGATTTTCCGAATTTTAAATGTTAGGAACTGCTCCGGAATCGCTAAGATCGCGATTTTTAATCAGACGATTTTAATATCAATCATCGATTTTCGTATTTAACTGATTTAAAATTTACGTGCTGCGATTTTTTTTACGCTATTTAAAACTCATACTAGCAATTCCTATTCACTCAATTTAAATATCCAATATCGCGATTTGTGTTAAAGCGTTTTTAAAACCCAATATCGCGATTTGTATTCTCGCGAGTTTAAAATCCAACGTCACAATTCGTATTCACGCATTTTAGAATCCAATATTTCGATTCATTATCACACAGTTTTATCGTTTTTCGTATTTGTACGCTATTTAAAAATTACTCATTGCGATTCGTTTTGACCTGATCTAAAAATTATGCATCGTTATTCTTAATTACGCGATTTAAAAATTCAATATCACAATTTGTATTTAAGCGGTTTTAAAACCCACTATCGCTATTTGTATTCTCGCGAGTTTAAAATACAACGTCGTGATTCGTATTCACTCATTTTTAAATCTAATATTTCGATTCATTATCACGCAGTTGTAATATCAGATATCGTTTTTCGTATTTGTACGCTATTTAAAAATTACTCATCGTGATTCTTAATTACGCTATTTAAAAATTCAATACCGCAATTTGTACTTTCGTGTTTTTAAAATCCAACAGCGCGATTCATATTCACGTGATTTTAAAATCCAAAATCGCGATTCTTATTCGCGCAATTATAAAATCCAAAATCGCAATTCATATTCACGCGATTTTAAAATCCAATATCGTGATTTGTATTTTCGTGTTTTTAAAATCCAACAGCTTGATTCATATTTACGCGATTTTAAAATCCAACCGCACGATTCATATTCACGCGATTTTAAAATCCAAAATCGCGATTCATATTCACACGAATTTAAAATCCAATATCGCGATTCATATTCACGCGATTNATTTACTTTTTTATTTAAATGCATTTAATTTAGGCTGCTTTACCTTTTAAAATTAAACCGAATTTCAAGTTTTGGACTTTAATATCAGTTTTAAATTCAAAGAGACATTTATAAAATTTTAAATTATTTTCGGTATTATAGTACTAATGTTCTATGCATTATTCGTAGTATCTTTAATTTTTATAACTTTCCTAATAAATCTAAATTGTTAAAAAAAGAGAAATTAATGTTTGATAATTGATTGCAACCATGGGTGCAAGTCTTCCGTCCCCAGGACGGATTCCCGTCTTTCAAAAATGTCCGCGGACGGAAACAAGACTGACTCGCAGACGGAAATCGGAATTTTTTTTCCCTGTCCATAAAAATATTTCTTAGGTCTACGTTATTGGTCTACTTTCTTATGTCCTGTTGTTATTTTATCAAAAGACAGATGAATAAATATTTTTTGTACAGTATTTAAACTTGATGTATTATGGTAAAGCTTTCTTAGATAGTTTGCATATGTCGAGGGGATATTGTGTATGTTAGGTATTTCAGTCAAAAAATTTTCAGTCTTGGCCTTTTTTCCAACTTGCACCCATGTTTTGTACAGATACTATTGTTCATCATATAAATCTAGATAATAAAGGTAGAACATGTGTGTTATTCATAAAGTAGCAGTGAGTATAAAATAACAAAGTTCTATTTTATTTTTTATTACATAAAATAATGGCAAGTCGCTGTTATACAGAATCATTACTTACAAATATTATAATACATCATGAAATGGAAAATGTTAATAAATACATGCAGCATATAAAAAAACAAGCCTTTTAATTTAAATAGGAACATTTGTTCTGAACTATCTTCATTTCCTAGAAAGAAAGACTATTTCATTATTTAAAATATGAATAAAACACAAAATAACTGCAATCAGAAAGGAACCTTACAGAAACCTACATTAAAAACTTCAGTCACTTCAAAACAAGAAAAGCCACAGTAGGTGAGATGGACAAATCAAGGCAAAATGTATTTTCATGCGCTATGGAGACATGGAGAGGTACCATGTCGTTAACAAGGAAATCAGTATTCGTATAAATAAAACAAGATTTCAAGGCATGAAGATGAGCTGATGTGACTATAATTTTTGCATTGTTGAAATTGAATTTATGATCCAGATTCCAACAATACGCAGCAATTAACGATTTCTTGAATTCTCAATAGCGATATATCTATAATTTACCTTAAGTTTAAAGTGCAACTAGTTCGGTTCCACTGACAAGGAATGTGTCAAATGCCTCAGTAATTATAAAAACATTTATTGTTATTAAAAGACTTAAGGCGAAAATCGACCTGATGAAGAAAAAAATCTCATCTTCGAAAAGGGAAAATTAAGCACTTTTTTAAAAACACAAAATGAAAAAAGCACCTTTAAAGGCTTTTAAAAATCGAAAATGAGCACCTTTAAGAATTAGAACTAACATGAGGGGGCAAAATGGTTATGATAAGCAGAGGTGGAAAAATGTTCATCAATTTCTGCACATTGTTGGAATCTTGGGTATAAATTCAATTTCGACAGTACCCGACAAAATTATTTCTAACCCACTCACATCAGCTCATCTTGATACCCTGGAATCTTGTTTCATTCATATAAATATTAACGACAAAATGTTAAATGTTCCCTTATTTACATTATTTCCTTATCACCTCTCCAAATTGCATGGAAATGCATTTTACCCTGATTAGCCTTTCTCAGCCACTGTAGTTTTTCGTGCCTTATTTTCCTGTTTATTTTTCCATTTTTCTTTGGCAACTTAATGTTTTATACATATCACTTATACTTTTTCCTGTTCATATCTGGCAATTATTGAAAAAATTGGGAGTCTGTTTTTGAGTGCTTGTTATTTCTAATGTTATTTTTTGAAGCGAATGAAGTTTTTAATCAAATCGAAATGTCATTTAAATCAGTTCAAATTTATTTCTGCGAGATTATTAGAAATCCGTCATAACAAGTTATCTCCATTGTAAAGGTTCGAAGAAAAGTGAGTTCACACTCAGTAGAGTAAATCAAAATTTCACGCGCTTATTAGATAACATTTTTTCAGCAGTTTTAAACTTCATGGTTTACCTGAACTCACTTAACTTTAAATGATTTACATAAGTGAAAGCATTGGTCTGTCCAGGGTTAAATTTACCACCGTTTTGCGGTACCTTCACATATTCACCTTTAGGAAAAACGGTAGTTTCATATAATACCTTTAAAAAGGCAAGTTCTCATGCAAACCTCATTCTATGAAAAAGTGGAACTTTTCTACCCGCTGTCTTTTACGAAAAGGTACCACGAGTTTGGTCAGATAGTGCAATGCGGTAAGCCTAACCGATCGCTTACACCATAACAAAGCAAGCTTTTTTTCGGTGAGTTTTTTTTTTTTTTAAATGAAACTACGAGTTTCTGGCTCTATAAACTTTGCAGGAAGTCAAAATTCGAACATTATTCCAAACATTTGAACATTATAAACACTATTGTAAATTTATTCACACAGACCTTTATTTTTTATGAAACATTTTATTCTCAGTGAAACTTTTTTTTGTTTGACCTAGTTGAAAATGTTCTCGTAATGAAAATTACTTAAAATACTGTTAAATGCATGTTTTTATTAAATTTAAATATGGACAATGATTTTTATGGATTTTTAAATTTGGATACAATTTTTAGCCCAAAATTTTACAATAGCAAAATTTTTTTTAAATATATGTGGGAGAAAATATATAGAAATTAACCAGTCAAAAATGATTTTTATTTGTAGTGACAACTTTCGAAAACATTTTCTCACTTTACCAGATTTTTGTATTGATTTTTTAATGCAACTTTTAATTTTCACAAATTATGTCTAAATTTTCACAAAATAGGTACCTTTTAAAAAACACCAGACAGACCCCTGGAAAGAGAATATGCCATGATGGGTTTCTCCCACGGTATAGCATTCTCTTAAGTTCGCGACTCAAAAAATCATTTGAAACATGACAATTTTTCCATATGAATTTTATATACATACTTGTTACATCATAGCAGCAACCTCGGGATCAGATGACAGGGCTTCTAGGAGGTGAACTTGTACTCGGCGGTGACCAGAAACTCTAAGAGAATGGACCGAGCCACCAGATTTGGAAGATCCCACGGATCTACTAGACCTCTGACTGCGGTGGTCACTCTTGTGTCCCCCATGATTACTCTTGGGTGAAGGGGTGTAGGTCAATTTACTGGACATCAACCACTCATGTTGCAATGCTGCCTCAGCATTCAGTCGATTTGAGGGATCTGTCTGCAATAATTGATGCACAAACAGTTTCGATTCTTCAGAGATATCACACCAAATCTGTAAAAGAAAGTAACAAATAAATTCATCGACAAGCAAAAGCAATGTTGTTGAGAGTAAAATGCAGGAATTTGTTAGAAGTCATACAGTAAACTAACTTCCTCAAGAGGCAGAAAAGTATTAAGACTCTTCTGATTATTCAAAACATTCATCTGCTTTTAACCCATTCCTACTCAGCAAAATATAAAAGTGAATAACCAAATTAATTTTTGGTGTATAATTGTCAGGGTTGGGTTTTTGACGTCAAAAAGTGGTTTTTGACATGACAAGGGTATACTGGTTTAAACCGTCAAAAACCCGTCAAAAATGTCAAAAAATAANAAACAGTTATTAATTTTTTTTTTTGCATAGAATTATCTTTAGATAAATAAATTTTAAAACTGTGAATAAAAGTGTTTTGATTCGCTTAGATATCAAAATACACTAAAAGTAAAACTAATATTTAGCAGGTACAGCAGCCAAAATTTTCAGAAAACAGCAAGGAAAATAGGAAGATTTTTTATAAAAAAATAATAAAAATAGGAGTGTTGAAAAACAAATAAAAAATTCACTTTAAAGTAACTTAATAAGTTTTCATGAATATTATTTTAAATCATAAAACTACCTACTCCCCTATCCCAATATTAAGACTTAACAACACTAATTAAAAGATCAAAAATTCTTTAAGACTGATATTTTACTTTCTACTCTTTTAATTGAGACTATAACAGTATAAATTATGATGTATAATACATACAATTTGTATAAACAATATATTTATGTAAAATTGAGCTAAAAAAATGTATCAAAAAAATTTTTTTGACAAATTTTGCATTTTATAAAAAAAAATATTCTTATATTAAAAACGATTATTTTATAAAATTTAAAAATACATGAACTTTAAAAAAAAAAAATTATATATGAAATTACTTCCGTAAGAAAATTTTTCAATACCNTGGGCAACAAGAGCAAAATTCTGTCAAAAAAAAAAAAAAAAAAAAAAAGATTTTATTTAATGCTCTATCCTTTATTGAATTTCACAATTAATATTAACTTACAATTAATTCAGTTATTTACAATAATTCTTAACCCTGAGGCAGAATTTTTTCTGGCTTTCTGCAAGATACTTTTAATAACAGATATATTTGTTAATAATTTAAAGCAATAAAAGCGTTGTGTTTACAAAGAAAAAAAATTTTTTTTTGAATCGAAAAAAATTAGAAAAAGATTTTATAAAAATAAGAAAAAGTTGAAAATAACAGAAAAAAAAGGAGGGGTGTTGAAATAATAGGAAAAATAGCAGTAAACCGCAGGAAGATTCGGGGTTACCTAGGAATGGTTACAGTCAGGACCTGATTATCGCCTAGGCGCAATAGGCATGGGCCTAGGGCCCACAATTTCGGAGGGGCCTCAAAAATTAGCAAAAAGTTTAATGAAAGGTGGGCTAGCTTTGTGTTGGTTTAAGTATTAAATAAAAAACAGTGTTACAACAAACAGTATTAAATAAAAATCAGTGACTTGTAGCAAAAATCACTGATTTCANAATTGCTGAAAGGATAAAAATTCTGTAAGTGTAAAGACAGATATTTTACTTTCTACTCTTTTCATTGAGACTTTAACAGCATAAATTATGATGTATAATACATAAAATTTGTATAAACAATATATTTATGTAAAATTGTGCTAAAAAAATTTATCAAAAAAATTTTTTTGACAAATTTTGCATTTTATAAAAATTATATTAAAAACGATATTAAAATAAATATTCTTATATTAAAAACGATTATTTTATAAAATTTAAAAATACATGATTTTCTTAAAAAAAAATTATATATGAAATTACTTCCGTAAGGAAATTTTTCAATACCTTAAAAAAAAAAAAAAAAAAAAGATTTTATTTAATGTTCTATCCTTTATTGAATTTTACAATTAATATTAACTTACAATTCAGTTATTTACAATTATTCTTAACCCTGAGGCAGAATTTTTTCTGGCTTTCTGCAAGATACTTTTAATAACAGATATATACGTTAATAATTTAAAGCAATAAAAGCGTTGTGTTTACAAAGAAGAAAAAAATTTTTTGAATCGAAAAAAATTAGAAAAAGATTTTATAAAAATAAGAAAAAGTTGGAAATAACAGAAAAAAAAGGAGGGGTGTTGAAATAATAGGAAAAATAGCAGTAAACTGCAGGCAGATTCGGGGTTACCTAGGAATGGTTACAGTTAGGAAAAAGATAACCGATATCTTAAGATTAAATGCAAATTAAAAGAGTTAAAATGTCATCGTTTTTAAAATACAAAAAATTAAATTAACTCAGTATTAAAATGCAAAAGGTTAGAATTACGACCCAAAACAAAATATCCTCATTTGCTCAGTTTTGAATAGTTGGCTTACATGTGATGTCGCAGCATCACGATGCCACGCCCTCAACATAATCCAATAATCTGATGAATTTTATACAATATCGCACTGTTTAAGTCAAAACATTAACATTTAATAAAATAAAAAACAGTCGGAAGAGGGGGAAATGTAAACATCTCACACAACAGTGTCATTTTATACGGTGATTCCATTCGTAAAGAGGTAACAGCAATGTATCGAAAAATCTGATCGTATTAAAAATGCTGGAAAACAAAGGGCGTCCTTATGCTGTTTAGATTTCTCTTATAATAAAAACATGGGTTGTCCTCTCTTCGACAAGTGGTTGAGGGGAAGGGGAGGGGCTCCTTGACCTCATCGACAGCTACAAAGGCATCGTTTTAAGAAGTCGACTGCTTTTTTTGAAAATCCCAAAAATAAATTCACGAACAGCAACAGATGGGAAATGACAGGATACCGAAACTGAGAAAAATTTATAGAACAGTGTCGATATACAGAATGTTCGAAAAATCGAAATATGGTTAAATATTTGAAATATGCATCGGATGAATAGACTCGTTTGACTTTCTTTTTTTCTTTCTTTTTTTTTATAATTCCTGCTATTAGTTCACACTCTCACCAAAATCTCGTTCAAATTGTCAGTCGTTAATAAAATACTTTTTAAATCACCCACTCAAGTTCAAATACATTATTTTTAAACTTGTAGTGTATGACACTTGATGTTTTTCAAATAAAAATTCATTCATTAAATAGAGATGAACGAAATGGAATTTTCTGATAGGTTAAAGCTGACCATTATTTTAAATTTTACTATAAGCAATTCAATTTTTTGTTGCTGTTGCTTATCCCAGCCCCAGACCAAGTCCAGAAGATCATGTCGCACCAGCAAGTCATAGGCAGTCTCTCCATCACTCATCAGTTGCCTCACAGAGGCAATTCAATTTTTCACATATTAAAGAACATTACGTGACGTGTGGTCCACGTCACCAAATTTATACTTAGTTGTCTGATACCACGAGCCTTTTTTTTTTTCCTTCCAATTTCTACTAATAGTTCACACTCTCCCTATATATACAGTACAGAACCCGTTATCCGGAAATCGGAAAACCAAAAAACCGGAACGAAATACACACAATAAATTTTCCCGCTATTTTTAAAAAAAATTTTTTTTCTCCTCATAAGATTTTAGGATTTTTCGTTCTTTTTTGAAAGATGTTTACCTTACCATCATTTTGGAAATAATCATTAGTGTATTACTTCATCGTTTTTTCTTCTTTTTAAGATTATTTCCAAA